CATATTACAGAGGGAAAAATACCGGATTTGAAGCCAAAGGACCAGGGTGCAAAGCCTGAGACATTGTTACTTCCTACAGCAGCTAGGTGGTGTAGTGGACAGAGCTATGGGCCTGGAGTCAGGAATACATGAGTTCAAATTCAGTCTTAGACACCTATTGTGTGTCCCTGGGCAAGTTGCTTAACCTCTGTTTGCTTTGGCTTCCTCATCTATAAAATGGGGATAATAAGAGTACCTACTTCAAAAGGTTGCCGTATAATCAAATGAGAGAATATTTGTAAAACAACCTGGTATATAGTAAGCACTATATAAATGCTTATTCCATTTCCCCCTCTTCCTACCTGTGTGACCTTAGACAAGTCACTCAGCCTGGAAGGTGGGAGCTCAATAGCCTCTTCTTTAAAATGAAGGGGTTGGACTAGATGGCTTCTGAGGCCTTCTGGGCTCTAAATCAAATATCTTGTGACCTCCACCTCAAGGTAGGTCCTCCTGGTTTTTTGTTTTTTTGCAAGGCAATCAGGGTTAAATGACTTGCCCAGGGTCACACAGCTAGTGTCAAGTGTCTGAGGTTGGATTTGAACTCAGGTCCTCTTGACTCTAGGACCCGTGCTCTTTCAGATAGTCCTCCTGTTCTTGCTTATATTTTTTTCTTGGAACTCCTACAACTTTAAAAATGTCCATGTCAGCATCTTGGTATCTTCCGTTGGATTCTATACTGGCTTGTACTCTTCTCTGGCTATTTCATGTTTGTGATGCAACTGGACCACAATGTCTCAAGGCAGAGGGACTGTGTCATCTAGCACAGGACTAGGCACAGCACAGTGGGTCAGTCCACGTCAGAGAGAAGAGGAGGAGGAAAACCCTCGAGTCTATGTCACAGGTGGATTGGAGAAGGAACAGGGGATGCATAATCTGGAGAAGAGAAGCGGAGGGTGGAGAACATGTCAGCTACGTTCAAATATCCGAAGTCTTGTTATGTGCCCTCGTTCTCTCCGGACCCAGATGGCAAAACTAGGAGCAAAGTGGAACTTGTGAAGAGACAATTCTGGCCTTGAGCACAGAACAACTTTCTAATGATTAGGGCTGTCCCCCAATAGAATGTGCTGCTTTCGGAAGCAATGAGTGCTCTCTCTTGGAGGTCCTGAAGCACTTGGTAGTTGGATGAATGAATGAAAAAAAGCATTTATTAAGCACTTTCTATGTGCCAGGCCCTGTGGCACAAAGCCAAGCAAACTAGGCTGGCCCTGCCCTCCAGGAGCTTACATTCAAATAGGAGATGAGAATACACAAAGGGGAGCTAGAGTTTGGAAATGACTGGGAATTCATGTAGCAGCCAGGTTTCAAATGTTGTAAGGTGAAAGTTCACTTGTTAGAGTGCAGGTGTTAGAGGTAGAGCATTAATTCCTGTCAGAAGTGAAGGAGGGCCAGAGTGGAGGTGGAAGTAGGTTAACATGAGCTTTCTCTTCGGGCTGTATTAGATGATCACTAAAGACCCTTCCAATTCTCATATCTGGCGACTGTTTGACCCATACAAACCAAGCTATACCTACACAAAAAGCTACACAAAGATAGTGTTGTCTGTCACTTGGCACAGTGCCTAGCACACAGTAGGTGCTTAAGAGAGGCTTGTTGATTTGACTTGCAACGCAAAGAACGCTGGATTTGGAACTAGAGAGCCACCCCTCGGTTTCCTTACCTGTAAAAAAAAAGGTTGCAAAAATGACCTTGAAAGACCCTCCCAGCTCTAAATCTGTGATCTTATGATTGTTTTCTGTCACACTGGACCTGTCTGGAAGCCTGAAAGGTTTGTCTTTTGGCCTGAGTTCTGGTTTGAGGGTTATGCGTCTCCACCTATTTCCTGGGAGTATTCCTTTTATGATTTTTTTTTTTAGGCAATTGGGGTTAAGTGACTTGCCCAGGGTCACACAGCTAGTAAGTGTCAAGTGTTTGGTCTGAGGCCAGATTTGAACTCAGGTACTTCTGACTTCAGGGCTGGTGCTCTATCCACTGTGCCACCTAGCTTCCCCTTTCCTGGGAGTATTCCTCAACTCGCTACTTGACCTTGTAAGTCTGCTTTATAGCACTCAGCAGGTGAGCCTGCTTGGAAATTGTAAGAGTCCATTTCAGAGATTTGGGAGGGCTTTCCAGAGTCTATTTTTACTTTTAAAAACAGCATTTTATTTTTTCCAATTTTATGTAAAGACAATTTTTAGCATTCATTTTTACAAGATTTTGAGTTCCAAATTTATCTCCCTCCCTCCCCTTTTCCTAAAACAGTAAGCAATTTGATATGGATTATATATGTGCAATCATGTAAAATATATTTCCATATTAGTCACAGTTGTGAAAGAAACAGACCAAAAGGGAAAAAAAGGGGAAAAAAAGTGAAAATAGTATGTATGCTTCAATCTGCATTTTCCATCGTGGGTCCTTTGTAATTGTCTTGGATCACTGCATCGTTGAGAAGAGCTAAGTTTACCAAAGTCAGCCACTGCACAACTTGGTTCTGCTCACTTCACTCAGCATCAGTTCATATAAATCTTTCCAGGTTTTTCTGAAGTTTGCCTGCTCATCATTTCTTGTTGAACAATAGTATTCCATTACATTCATGTAACACAGATTGTCCAGCCATTCCCCAACTGATGGGCATCCCCTCAATTTCCAAAGTTTTTTTGCCACCACAGAAAGAGCTGCTATACCTATTTTTACCTTCTCGTTTGGGTGCTATAGTGTGTGAGTGAGTGAGAGAGAGAGAGAGAGAGAGAGAGAGAGAGAGAGAGAGAGAGAGAGAGAGAGAGAGAGAGAGAGAGAGAGAGAGAGAGTGTCTGCGTGTGTACAATGTATAGAGAAAATGCAGCTAGACTGACTGGCATGGATCAAGGTTTAGGGGAGGGGAAGCAGTTGCATAGAGGATGACAGTTTTGAAACGCTGGGAGACAAGAGAACTGGGTTCAAATACTGCCTCAGACATTTACTCATTTACCGTGTGCTGATGGACAAGTGAACCATGGTACCGTGGAACCTCGAAGTAAGAGAATCGGGGATCGGGGCTCAAGTCCTGCCTCGTCACTTCCAACCTGTTTGACCTTGGGCAAACCGCTAGCCCTCCGTGCCCCGCTTCCTCATCTGTAAAATCAGGAGGTGCAACGGTCTTTGCAGTTCTGTCGTGGTCTGTGATACGATATGGCGCAAACGTGTGTATGGTTTCTAGGAGGCCAGGGACAGGGCTCTGGGATCCCAGGCGGAGCCTCCTCTCCTCTGGACCCCTCACTCTCCCTCACCTGTCATCTCGGGCTGTTCTTGCCCCCCCAATCCCACCCCCAGCCAATCCTGGTCCAAGCCCGGGCTGCGATCTGCCTTCTTTCCTCCGCTCTCCTCCAGGAGGCTACGGCCCGAAGCGCCCGCAGTGCCCAGGGAGAAGTACCTGGCCTCTGTGCCCGCCACAGTCTCAGCCTCCTCCTGGGGGAGTTCGGGGACTGCGGGCTGCAGGTATGGCTGTAGGAGGGGGCTGGGAGTGGGGGGCGGCGCAGGCTCGGCTTCTTTCCGGAGTGCCCCCCCCCGTTTCCTCCCCAGAGACAGACGAACAGCTCCCACGGTCCCAGGCGCTGATGCTGCGGGAGTAGGGTTGGGTGGGGTGAGGGCGGCTGGCGTGCTAAGCAAAGAAATCCTGAGGCAGACTGCCCCGCGAGCAGACAGACAGCTCCCCTTGCACCTTTGCGCGCACGCACACACGCACGCACACTCCCTTCTACATGGAGAGATGCTCTGGATCAGCTTTCATTTTCACCTGCCGCGTGACCCCCGCCCGTGACTGAGGAAGGGGAGGCTCCGGGTCTTTTGCAGCGGGATGGGGGCCTCGGTGGGGGCGAGGCGGCAGGGGCCAGACGCAGGGACTGCTGCTTAGGACCCCGGCCGGGCTCGTTGCTAGGAACCCGGTAGCCGGGGGCCAGAGCGGGCCAGGAGCGGCTCGGATTTAAACCCCCAGGCCTGCGGCTGGGCGCGGGGGGGAGGAGAAGGGGCCACACTCTGAACCCCCCACGGTCCCGCTTTTCCACTTAGCCCAGGCTCGGCCCTGGTCTCCTCGGTGGAGAGGAAGCGGGTGATGTGCCCCTGACCCTAAGAGGACAGAGACCCCACAGGGGAGGGGGAAGGCTCCAGGTTGAGGAAGGCACGGGGTTTGGGACTGCCGGGAGGCCTGCTGGGGGCTGGGGCTGGGGCTGGGGCAGGGGCAGGGGCAGGGGCAGGGGTGGGTGTCGGTGAAAGCCCGGGGCAGTTCCTCAGTGAGGCTGCGGAGGGAGACTGGTCACGTGACCTGCGGTCTCGGCACGTGCGCGGGCGGCCTTGGACTACTCCGGGAGCCCACCCCCACCCCATCCCTGGCCCACACCCACTTGAAAAGTGCGTTCTGAGCCAGTTACTGGCTGCGTGGGGCACCGGGCGCAGCTGCGTGCATGGAGCGGTGCAGGGGCCGGAAAAGTTACCCTCCAGCCTCTTCACAGGCAGGGACCCACGCTACTTGGGTGGGTAGCGGGGTAGGTAGGTAGCGCCTCTGTCGGGGGGCCCCCACCGGGATCATGTGAAGGTGGGGGTGCGACCCGGGGGGATTCCGGTGCTGGGGAAGGGCGGGGTGGGGGTGGAGCGGACGGAGCGCAGGCCCGGGGGGAAATGCGCCCCCTGCCCCCAGCTTCGGCCTCGGTCCTTCGGACAGCGGCCCTCCAGGAGGCCGAGGGGAGGGAGGGAGGAGAGCTGGGCGCCGGTGCCCGGCCCTCCCTCCGCCTCATTTGCATAACGGAGCGGGCGCTCTCCTCCCCGCCCGCCTCTCGCCCCTCCCCCCGTCTCTCTTTGTCTCTGTCTCTCCCTTGGTCTCTGCCCTGCTGTGCTCCCGGGCTCTCCCGGCCTTCCGTCCTCGCCTCTTGTATCCAGCGGCGCGGAGGGGAGCGGGGTCCGACCCCCGCAGGCCCGGCGTGGGGTGGGTGGGGATGGGGGTGGGGGAAGGGCCGGCCTGAGCCGGGCTCCGGCACCTCCGGCCGGCTCCGGAGCCGGCCCCTAACAAAGGGAAGCTCCCGGCCCCCAGCCTTGGAGCGGAGCGGGCCCGGGCCCGAGCCGAGGGCCCACGGGGGGGGGGTCTCGGAGCCGCCGCCGGAGCCGGCCCCGTCTGGATCGGCCAAGAGTGAGTATCCCGGGGAGCCCAGCCCCTCCGCGCCCCGCCCCGCCCCGTCCCTCCCCGCGTGGGGCGCAGATCGCGCGCTCTGGGGCGGGGGTCTGCGGGAGCGGCCTTTCCTTGGGGTCGGCATTGTCAGGGCTGGACTCGGAGGCGTCCGGCGTTTGAGCACCCGACCCGGCCCTGGGCGGCTGCTTGGAGGCTAGAGCCCCCTTTACTGGGCACTTAGCACGCGCAGAAGGGCTCTTCACAAATGCCTCTTGACTCGGCTTACCCCTCGGGGGTCAGCGGAGTCACAGAGGAGAGAGACCTGGGTGGCCTCCGCACGCGTGCATGCACGCTCACTACACCCACAACAAACGCACGTGTGCACCGTGCCAGGGCGCAGACAGGCATGCACCCCACCCAGGAAACACCCTGGCCCTCGGCGTGCTTGCTCTGACAACAATGCCCACCTCCCAACCCTCTCCCGTGTCCCCGGGGGTTCTTAGCACGCCGGCTCGGGTGGGGTTCTGGTCTAGGTGCAGTCCCGGAGCCTTTGTTTGAGACGAGGAGGCCACAGAGCCGAGGATGCGGCTTTGACGGGGTCAAGGCAAAAAAAAAAAAAAAAGAAATCTAGATAAATTTGCGTGGTCCAGGCTTCTTTCCCTGGCCCGACTCAGCCGGCCGGGAAGAGCAAAATAAAACAGCAGAAGGAAAAAAATCAGTAAAGAAGACCGTTGTGTTTTGCCGGGAAAGCCTTTCGAGTCTCCGGTGATCCTGGGAGACTCGAGGTTAGAGGCTTGGCCCAGAGCTTTTTCTGCGTCACGGGTGGTAGAACTGGGGAGAAGGGAGAAGACCAATCTCATCCTAACCCTTGATTGTTTTCTCATCTTGGAAATGCTGAACATCTGTTCAGTCTGGGATATTCCCAGAAAGTGGGAATGCTGGGCCAACGCAGAATCCCTCATTTGTTCTGCTCTGTGCACCCTCTGTCCAGCGTTGGAGAACAGGCTGAATGCGACCTACCTCCCTGTCTGGGGCACCGACCAGGGCTTGGCCCTGTTGGGAAGGTGGCATATTCAGTCCTAGCCTGCCCAATTCCAGGGAGCCTCAAGGTGAAAGGGTCCTGGATGCAAAGATGGTTCCTAGAGACCATCTAGTGCCTCCGAGAGGGGAAGTGACAGAATGACAGAATCATAAATGTAGACAGACCTCAGTGGGACCTTTGGGGCCATCTCATCAACCCTGTTATTTTCCAGGTGAGTTAAGAGGTCCTCCTGACCTAGGATCATAGATTAAGAGCTGGAAGGGGCTTTAGAGACCATCTGGTGATTACATTGGATTCCATTCTCCCCATTTTACTGAAGAGAAAACTGAGGTCCATAGATAGTCATTGGATCCTAAGTGTAGACAGATCTCAGTGGGACCTCATATGCCGTTTAATCCAACCCCTTTATTTTACAGATAAGGAAGTTGAGGCTCAGAGAGGTCATCTAGTCCAAGCTAGACAAAGAAATTTAGGCACAAGTGACTTGTCCAAAGTCATGCAGGTAGTAAATAAGAGAGCCAAGGTTCAACCCCAGTTCTTGTCTCCAAAACCCAAACCTCTTCCTGTGATCTATGCTCATAGAGGAAGTGAGTGACCAAGGTAGAATTAGAACTCATATTCTTGGATTCCAGAATCGATTTGGGAAGTTGGGAGTGAGATAATCTATTTTTCTGCAAAACATAAAATTAAAAGGAGATTTCAGAAGTGCCACTTTTGAGACCCCTCAGGTCATGGTCATTGGGCTGGCAGGATCTTGGGCATAGATACGTCTGTTTGCTGTCTGTTTGCTTGGAGAGCTCTTCCTTGAGTTACTTCAACATTATTAATAAGCGTGGGCTGAACTGAGCCAAAGTGACTTACTTGTCTGACATTACATAAGCGTTCAGTGGCAGAGAAAGCCTGGACTCCAGGCTCCCAGGTCTGGGCTCTTTGCCTTGTATGCCTGTGCTCGGGCTGGCAGGCTTCTGTGGCAAACCCAACATACTGTGGCCTGAGGCAGACGAGTCCAAACAAAGGCACTAATTCAAATGAGAAGCTGCACCCTCCTATTATCCACAATGAGAGGTTTAAGTCATTTGCGAAGGGGCCTTTTTTCCCAACCCTTCTCTCCATCCTCTTTTCTCTTGAGTAGATAGATGCTCCTTCCCCCTCCCCTTGCAGCCAGGATAGCTTTGTTTGAGGCTAAACGTCAGCTCCTTGCTGGGCAGAAAGTGTTTCCTAGTGGAGTATTCCAGAGCCAACTGCAGGAGGACAAAGAATTGTTTCTGTTGTGTATTCCATCTTGTTTCATTTGTAAAAGCATTAGAGATAGATAAGCAGGGTTGTAACTTTACAATCCTCCTATCAGTGTGTAAACTTCTGGAAGGCAGGGACTGCTTTATCTTTCATGTGTCGCTGTTGTGTTTAGGCGGTGTTGGCCATTTAGAGCTTAATAAATAATCATCCATCCATCCATCCATTATTGGAACTGACCTTACCAATCTTCTATTTCAGGGAATCTTTTTTTTTTTTGTATTATGTGCCTCTTTGACAATTAGTTGGTGAAGCCTAGCGACCCCTTCTCTAGATCATGTTTTTAAATGCATAAAATTGTGCATAGGATTACAAAGGGAATCAGGTATATAGAAACACAGTTCTTAAAATTATTTTCAAAGTAAAGTTCAAGGACCCAGGTTAAGATCCCCTGACAGTCCAACTCGTAATTTGACAGATGAGGAAACAAGCCCACAGAAGTCATAAAAGAGACACCAAGACCAGAGTTCAAACGTGGCTTCAGACTGTAACTGGCTGTGTGACCTTTGGGGAAGTCACCTGGCCTCTGTCTGCCTCAGTTTCCTCCTCTATAAAAATGGGGATGATAAAAGCGCCTATTTCCCAGGGTTGTTGTGAGGATCAAATAAGAGGATATTCGTGAAGTGCTTTGCAAGCCCTAAAGTGCTACAGAAATGCAACTATGACATTGATAGTGATGGTGGTGGCAGCATAGAGCGCTGACAGTGATGGCTTCCGAGTTAGGAGGAGATGGTTTTAAAAAATAGCTGGTTTCACATCCTACCTCTGACACATACTGGCTGTGTGACTATAAGAAAGTAAGTCGCTGAAACTCTCAGAACCTCGGTTTCCTCACCTGTAAAATGGAGATAATAGCAGCATTCCCTTCCACAGGGTTGTTGTCATGATTAAACCAGATAATGCTTATAAAGTGCTTTGCAAACCTTAAAGCTCAATGTTATTAAAGACTAATGCTATTCTTTTCATAGAATCATAAATTTCAATCTAGGGGGGACCTGGGGAGGTCATTTTATTCAATTTCCTTTTACCTATTAGGGAACAAAGGCCCAGGGGGTTTCAGTGACTTGACCAAGGTCACTCGGGGTGATAAGCATCAGGGGTATGGTTTGAACCCAGGTCCTGAGACTTTAGAGTCGGTACTCTTGCCATTGGGCCTGTCCAACCCCCTAATTTTCAGCTAAGGAAACTGAGGTCTGGCTGGAAGGGAACTTGGAGGTCGTTGAGTGCAATGCCTCCATTTTATAGGGGAAGTGATTTGCCTCAGGTCATAGCTAATATCCTGCTCCAAATCCAATGAGGACATTCTGCTTTCTGAAAGAGGATGCATTCCCCCCCCCCTTCTGAATATGTGCTTTTCCAAAGGGGCCAGCTTGCAAACGTTGACACTTGCCTCTCCTAATAGGTGGCTGGGCTGCTTGGCCTCCTTTACATTCCCTGGGGGCTATTTTTAAAGCTCAGTCCCTGTGAAGGTCACTTTGAGCTCATTCAGGGGCATGCCCTTTAAGTATAAAGCCTATTTTTGTTTTTCTTCACATTTCTGCCAACTCTTTGGAAGCCCAGGTGCCTGCTCTGCTTTTCCCACCCCCTCTACCCTGGGCCACCTGACCCCTCATGTGATGTGAAGCCGTTCAGTGAGCACTTTTCAGGGAAAGACCTTTCCTTCCTCCCTTCCTCCCTCCTCCCTTCCTGCCTTCCTTCCTCCCTCCCTTCCTACCTCTTTCCCCCTCACTCCCCCCTCTCTCCTTCCTTCCTTCCCTCCCTCTCTCCTTCCTTCCTTCCTATGTTCCTCCCCCTTCCTTCCCTCTACTTCCCTTCCTTTTTAAAATATTTTTATTTTCATTAAATATTTCTCAATTACATTAAAATTTTTTAACATTCATTTGAAAGAAATTTGAATTTCAGATTCTCTCCCTCCCCCACCTTTTGAGAAGGCAAGCAATATGAATTATGCAAAACGTATTTCTATATTAGCCATTTTGCAAAAGAAAACAGAAGAAAAAAGAAAAAAATATGCTTCAATCTGCCTTTAGTTTATCAGTTCTCACTCTTCTTGGGTCCTTTGGAATTGTCTCGGGTCTTGGTCTTGATCAGAGCAGCCGAGTCTTGCACAGTTGATCCTCCTCACACTGCTGCCGTTCACGTGTACAGTGTTCTCCTGGTTCTTCTGATCGCTTCACTTTGCGCCCCAGGCTTTCCTGAAACCGTCCTGCTCATCATTTCTCATGGCACAACAGTATTCCATCGCACTCACACACCACAGCTGGTTCAGGCGGTCCCCGATTGTCGGGCTTCAGGTGGAAGTATTTCTCATGCCTCCCTCCTGGCCGTTGAATTTGGAGGCTGTGTTACGGAGTGAGGTGTACAGGACTGGGAGTCAGGAGCCTGGAGATTTTATCCTGGCTATCTTACTGTAAGTGTCATAGCTCTAGAGCTGGAACCTCAGAGGCTGTGTAGTCCAAGTCCCATCCCTATTTCACAGATGGAGAAACTGAGACCCAGAGAAGGTATCTATAAGATCATAGATCTAGGATTGGGAATGACCTTGGAGTCCATCAAGTCCAATTTCCTAGTTTTACAGATGAGGAAACTGAGGCCCAGGGAGTTTAAGTGACTTGCCTAGGGTCACCCAGGTAGTAAGCATCAGAGGTAGGATTTGAACTCAGGTCTTCTGACTCTACAGCTGACT